TTTCTTCATTAGACATTGTCTTTTTTAGATTAATAGTAGTGTAGGTACACTAGGTACACACACGTGCTTTTTATCGGTGGGTACAGCAGGTTGCCTTAACTGTATGGATTCTCTATAAAGATTTGTAACGGATAACTTGATTCTCTAGATTGATTCTCAAAATAAAGTACTGGAAAATTATGCCGATGAAATGTAATTGCAGTGGGTTAGGTATTATAAAATGAAAGCAAAACTGTCGTTTCTGGATTCGTCCGTATGTCGTATTTCTGACACGTCATGCACGCCACAATTCAGAACAATAGGCAAGATCTTTAATTATATACTAAGTGACATATAAATCCGAACACCCAGTTTAAATTTTTTAGGTTTTATTTTAATAAAAGTTGGTGAATGTATTTATCTTACTGTAAATAACAAGTGAAAAAAATTTCAGCCTTATCAGTTGGACATTCCGGTTTTTATACTGCTTTTTTTTAATTCACTAACGCTCTAAAAATGAATATTTCAGGCGCAGTAAAGAATCAACGTTGGCGGATTTTGGTTCTTGACATCCTTTACCATCGGTTACGATGCCTAGAGTACGGAGACCTGTACGATTTCGTCAAATTAGTGAGTTTGATAGGGGCCGTATAGTGGGACTTCGGGAAGCTTGGCTTTCTTTTCGGGCAATTGCAGTTAGAGTGCAAAGAAGTGTAGACACTGTGGTTAGGTGTTGTCAGGCATGGCTTCGAGAAGGCCGTACGCAAAGAGCAAGGGGCACTGGACGCCGCCGTTGATCAACAGACCGTGAAGATCGCCGCCTAAGATTATTGGCCTTAAGGGACCGTTTCTCCACTACCTGGTCCATTGCAAATGAATGGTTTGCAGAACACGGAAGACCTATTGGCATGCGAAGTGTTTACCGATGAATGAGAAGTTTTGGCTTGTTTTCATACTGGCCACACTGGGTCCTCCCTTTAACTCGAGAACACCGACGTAATCGCCTTGAGTGGTGCAGACAACGGTCACTCTGGGATCAGGAATGGAACAGTATTGTCTTTAGTGACGAGTCTCGATTTTGTTTAGGCATGCACGATGGTCGTGCCAGGGTTAGAAGGCGACGTGGTGAAAGGAGGAATCCACAGCTTTTTGTTGAAAGACATGTTCATCACACTGTTGGAGTTATAGTTTGGGGTGCTATAGCTTATGGTTCCAGGTCACCTTTAATCTTCATCAGAGGTAACATGAACGCGCAGCGTTATATCCACGAAGTTCTAGAACCCCATCTTTTACCCTATCTTGACACCCTGGCAGATCCAACTTTCCAACAAGATAATGCCCGACCACATGTTGCAAGAGACTTCTTTCAACATAATGATGTCACATTGTTACCATGGCCACCAAGATCTCCCGACTTATCCCCAATTGAGCACGTGTGGGATATGATGGGTAGGAGATTGCTCAATTTGCAACGTCCTCCTCAGACTCTAGAAGCACTTCGAGAGGAGTTGGTGGTTGAATGGAATGAGACACCACAGGAGGACATTGACCACCTGATCAGAAGCATGCCTAGGCGCGTTGGAGAATGCGTAGCACATCAGGGTGCATCCACACATTATTAAACGTCAAAGGGCTTTAAGGTAGTGCAATCATTTTGAAATTTTTATCATTTACTTATTATGCTTCATTAAGTACTTATACAAAATTTTATTAAAATAAAACCATTTAAACTGGGTGTTCGGATTTATATGTCACTTAGTGTAATTTAAGAATTATAATAAAATATTAACATTGTATCTAGTGAAGCGACATAACAGAACTTCGAAGAAGAATGGCACCTCAATCACAGACACTCTAGCATCTAGATAATAAAAAAATATCGAAAAACTAATTAATTGGTTGCTGATCAAGGTTTTGGTTGTCTTCTAATTCTCACAGTCTGTAGTGACGATCAAAGTGTACCTGACAAAAATCATTTTTTTTTTCAGGTCTGTCATTAAATTCGTATTTATTGTGGTATTTTTCAAAAGTGCGAGTGAATTGTGTTGTTAGACGATTTCAAGACATCGTACGTTTTACATAATTCGCAAAGAGCGGCACAATCCTAAGGAAGGTGGACGTTTCCACCGGTAAGTATTGTTAGTGTATTGATAACACGCTATCACTTTGGGAGGTATTGATGGACAAATGAGTCTAAAGTATGAACTGAAACTACGCAATTTTGGCGACAGAAAATGCAATATATTGATCTGAAACGAATAGAGCCTATGCAAATTTTGCAATCACAGCTGCATGCCGGTTCCATCTGGGCCTTACACGCCGTGATAATTTGTAATATCGAAAAAGACTTCCTATCTCGGAAAAAGGAAAATGCCTCCTAGTTTGATCCGCCAGTGTCTCAACCAACCCTCGCTAACATTGTTATGTTACACAAATTTGGCTTTTTTACGGCTTCGGGTCAAGGACCGCCTAGTGTATCGATTCCGTCTAACAAATTCGGTATAATTTTGCAGTTGGATAATCAGTCAATACAAGGAAAGCAGAGATATCGCTTCGTAAATATACATAGGACGGCCATTTGATTGATGTATAGCTTTTGTTTGCCTACTGTCCTTGCGACCAGTGCTAGCCATTTTGCAAGTCAAATACTCAGTTATGCGATGTTAACAGTATAACCACAGAACAATCTAACCCTATCAGCTTGTAGGACTTCATTGTTTGGCTGAATCAAAACCACATATGTGTTTAGATTTCAGTTTATTTTACCGCGTTTCTAGCACCACTTGGGTCTTTTTCAAGTATAATTGAGAACCGAGATATATCGTGTTTTGTAAACTACCCAACCGCTTTATCCAGTAGTACTATACTACAACTATTTAAAACTGTAGTGACTCATACGCGTGATCAACACGTTATCAGAGTTCGATCCCGGTTTCCTTCCAGTACAGCCGTATAGCGTACGACATATGTCGTCTCTGTGGCTTTGCGGTGGTCAACAGCACAGACAGAGATGGAAATAATGGCTGATTGTTCTCCACCGGTAGAACCAATGAAATCAAAGACGCGCCTCGACCGGCAGACTCATAGGCGTCGGCAACGCATTGGAACGTGTTTCGTTGAGCGATCGCATATTGTGTGTTTTTATAAGAATTGTTGTGTGATTGTTATTGCTGTGGTTTCTGTGGTTACTGTTTTGGTTATACTCAACCATGGAGAGTACAAATGGCACGAGTGGAAGTACTGAAAGCCAGGGAACAAGCAGACGGCTTCGTAAAGCACTGAAGAGGGACGCGAAAGAAATCGTATCGTGCTCAACGTGTTCAATTATCTGAACAGAACTATGTCGCAGGGAGATGTACTCGCGCGTTGTGAAAGTATGACAGGCGTTCCAGAGTGGACCATTCGCAGGGCGGTGCATGAAAAGAAGAAAACTGGAGCTACTACTGATCCAAAGTTTAATTTGAAGGGACGAAAGGCCGTTAAATTGGATGACGATAGCAAAATGGCGTTAAGGCGAACCGTACATTCATTCTTCTTTAGGAATGAGATACCAACCCTCAAGGCTGTACATGCAGCGATCAAGGAAAATGAAATTATACCCCAAAAGAGCGTCGAGGTAATGAGGAAATCCCTGCACGAAATTAATTTTCGTTACGAAACGCGTAATCGGAAGTCAGTATTGATAGAGAGACCTGAAATAGTCGCCTGGCGTCGAAAATACCTACGCGAAATGATTGAATATAGGCGACAAAGCAGAAAAATCTATTATTTGGACGAGACATGGGTAAATGCAGGTCACACAGTTAAAAAAAACCTGGATAGACAAAAACGTAGTGAGTAACCGACAAGCAAGCATTGAAGGTTTGTCAACAGGTCTTCGTGGACCGTCAGGGAAAGGTCAAAGATTGATCGTAACTCATATTGGTAGCGATAGTGGCTTTTTAGAAGAGTGTGACTTGATTTTCGTCTCTAAGAAAGGAGGTGATTACCATGACGAAATGAATGCCAGCTGCTTCGAGAGCTGCCTTCAAGGGGTGCTTCAGCGAGTTGAGCCCAACTCTGTGATCGTCATGGATAATGCTTCCTACCATAGTCGTCGAGCCGAACCTATACCGACTCGATCTCGAAAAAGTGACATGCAGCAATGGTTGCGCGAAAAAGGAATCCCGTTTGGCGATTCATGTGTGAAAGCGGAATTGTATGAAAAAATTAAACAGCACAAACCTGCGAACATTAGTTACGTGACTGATGAGATGGCCCGTCAATGTGGTGTCACTGTGCTGCGGTTACCGCCCTACCACTGTGAACTGAACATAATAGAGCTCATCTGGGCTCAAGTGAAGGGTTATATTGCGCGCCATAACACAACCTTCAAATTACCAGACATTAAGGTTTTACTTGGGACTTCCATACAGCTAGTAACGCCCGAAGCTTGGCAGAATGCTATCCGTCGTGTTGTGAAGGAAGAAACAAAAATGTGGCAGCTTGACCACCACATCGACACCATCATAGAGCCAGTTATAGTCAATTCCAACGAAGAAAGCGATAGCGACAGTTTGTTACTGTCAGATGTAAGTGGAAGCGACGATGAATAAAGGTAATTCCCAAATTTTTGACTTACAATATATTTCAAACCACTCTTTATTAGGCATGTGACAAATCTAGTTCACCCATGTTAAACATTCATACCCCGCCTATGAACAGCCGACTACTGTTAGTTAAGTGATGTTCACGTGAACGTCGATGAGTCATTACAGTTTTAGATAGTTATAGTATAGTGGTGGTGGCGAGGCAAACCCTAGCAACTAGTAGCCACACTGTATTAATAACAGCCTCTAATCATAATAGCCTCTATTTAACCTGGCGGGTGTCATTTAAAAGCTGCTTTTCATACCAACCAGGCCTTTTCCTCCAGCTCTAGACCCCTTTTGTTCTCCCAGATCCTTCCCTCTTCTTCTTTTCCTCAGGAATCCTCCAACGCTATTTAACTCACGGGTCAATCAACGAACGGAGTATTGTATTTATAGAAAGTTAAAAAAAAATACATTGAAACTTACCTCTCCAATAAAAACCACGATCAGTGCATCGTCAGCCTCCTGAGTGGTCATCCCATCTATTAGGTTCTGCAGGGTGTCCATCAAATAAGACTGCTTCTCGCGTCGTACCGTTGGTACGCCCATCACCATGGAGACGCCATTGCGGTTTCTGGACATCAAGTAGGCCAGGCGGAGGCTGTTCTGGTCGTCCAGAAGGTGGGGTAGGAAATGATATGACGACGGCAACCTGAAAAGGAAATACGAAGTCAAGCAGATCGACTTTGAGAATCAGCATTGATGTGTGCGACTCAGAAAATGGTGTCAAGTGTATTGACTCTATACTTCAAATGCCTTCCATGTTGTGCAATTGCATAACATCTACCTAGGCTATGTCAGAGCCATTAATGTACTATTTGGGTTCTTCATGAAAAAAAAGGATCTTCAAATTACAGCAGTGAGCATGTCCTCATACTGTAGCCTCATTCCTTTGTAGCTCTGATGCGATACTGTCATTATGCACCATTTTAAAAAAAGATTTGCATTTGCGGCCAAACAAAGTTCAGTAAACACAAGAACTACAGCCTAGTGGCCATGAAAGTCGCCGACAATACAGTCATGCAATATTGCAGCTTAATACCCAAAATAACGATTTTTACCGATAACTGATAATGAGGGCTGAAGCCCGCTTCGATTTTGAATTTGTTAATAAGCAGAATTGTCATATCTGGGCATGAGATACCCTTGTGTCATCCATCATCGACCACTACATCCTCGTCGAGTCACAGTTTGGTGCGGTGTTTGAAGTTTGAAAAAAATCCAACAATTTAAGCTGCAAAACATGTCGTTCCAGCTGCACATAGCAACTTGTCATACAGCTAGAGAAACAATTAATCTTTGGCTAACAATATTTCCAGGGCGTTTAATTTCTCAATTTGGTGATGTCAACCGGCCACCAAGGTCACCGGATTTAACGACTCCTGACTTTTTTATGGGTGTTTTTGAAAAATATTGGTTATACCAGCAAACCAAATATTGTAGAGAAAGTAGCTGAGGAACAGTATTACGGAAGAGATTGAAAATATTCCTCCCGAAACCTACCAGAAAATGATGGAAAATGTAATGAAGGGGGCTCAGGTTTGCGCGGCTTCTAGACGCGGACTTTTGTCTGATATTATTTTTCAATACAAGATTAAGATGAAACAAATGGACGTATCTTATTTCATTTCTCAAATGATCAAGATACAAACCAGTCAGTTACATATTGGCCACCTTGTATAACGTCGCGCCCACCTCTTATGTGCATATCCACTACCCAAGATGCATTACTTACAACCCCGTGGTGCATGGCAACTGCGACCGATAGGTACGCGATCTATAGTATTTCTATGTTTTAAGGGAACATGTACGGGGAAATCTATGTGCGAAATATACTAAGTGACATATAAATCCGAACACCCAGTTTAAATGGTTTTATTTTAATAAAATTTTGTATAAGTACTTAATGAAGCATAATAAGTAAATGATAAAATTTTCCAAATGATTGCACTGCTTTAAAGCCCTTTGACCTTTAATAATGTGTGGATGCACCCTGATGTGCTACGCATTCTCCAACGCGCCTAGGCATGCTTCTGATCAGGTGGTCAATGTCCTCCTGTAGTATCTCATTCCAGGCAACCACCAACTCCTCTCGAAGTGCTTCTAGAGTCTGAGGAGGACGTTGCAAATTGAGCAATCTCCTACCCATCATATCCCACACGTGCTCAATTGGGGATAAGTCGGGAGATCTTGGTGGCCATGGTAACAATGTGACATCATTATGTTGAAAGAAGTCTATTGTGACTCTTGCAACATGTGGTCGGGCATTATCTTGTTGGAAAGTTGGATCTGCCAGGGTAAAAGATGGGGTTCTAGAACTTGGATATAACGCTGCGCGTTCATGTTACCTCTGATGAAGATTAAAGGTGACCTGGAACCATAAGCTACAGCACCCCAAACCATAACTCCAACAGTGTGATGAACATGTCTTTCAACAAAAAACTGTGGATTCCTCCTTTCACCACGTCGCCTTCTAACCCTGGCACGACCATCGTGCATGCCTAAACAAAATCGAGACTCGTCACTAAAGACAATACTGTTCCATTCCTGATCCCAGAGTGACCGTTGTCTGCACCACTCAAGGCGATTACGTCGGTGTTCTCGAGTTAAAGGGAGGACCCAGTGTGGCCGGTATGAAAACAAGCCAAAACTTCTCATTCGTCGGTAAACACTTCGCATGCCAATAGGTCTTCCGTGTTCTGCAAACCATTCATTTGCAATGGACCTGGTAGTGGAGAAACGGTCCCTTAAGGCCAATAATCTTAGGCGGCGATCTTCACGGTCTGTTGTTCTACGGCGGCGTCCAGTGCCCCTTGCTCTTTGCGTACGGCCTTCTCGAACAATACGGCCCCTATCAAACTCACTAAGTTGGTACGAAATCGTACAGGTCTCCGCCTAGATCGTAACCGATCGTAAAGGATGTCAAGAACCAAAATCCGCCAACGTTGATTCTTTACTGCGGCTGAAATATTCATTTTTAGAGCGTTAGTGAATTTAAAAAAAACAGTACAAAAACCGGAATGTCCAACTGATAAGGCTGAAAATTTTTTCACTTGTTATTTATAGTAAGATAAATACATTCACCAACTTTTATTAAAATAAAACCATTTAAACTGGCTGTTCGGATTTACTATATATGTCACTTAGTATATGTCTAGTGTATCGTAGAATTACCAGTGTTGGAATTTTACTAGCATAGAAAGATTGTAATAAGCCTCTGCTGTATAACTTTCATACAAATCCGAGCAGTGATTTCCAAATTACAGATAGGTCCGGATTAGCGAACACATGCAACCGACAGACAGACAAACTGACGGAAATAAGTGACATGGTTTTTCTTCATAAGCATCCAAAGAATATCGTATGTCAAAATCGAAATTTTTCGCGATTCAAATACTTCCTCGTTAGTAGACATTGGAAGTAAAATCAAGAGGATTTAAAAAATGTAAAAAAAATCAAGGTCGCTCAGGAGCGATGCGAAGCGATGCGATGCGGTGCAGAACGATGCGAAGCTATGCGAGTCGAAGTGATACGAAGCGATGCGATGCGATGGAGTCTGACAGCGACCGCGAAAGCAAACGCCGTTTGCTACCTGCTTTTATATCTCATTCGGATCCACTACTCAGAAACTGCAAGAGATTAAAGTTATACTTAAAGTTGTTTGCGATAAAGTAACATCTGTGGTTTTCATGCTGATGGTCCTCCAGGTCTGTCTGGTGGCTAAGACAGATATACAAAATTGTATCGTCATCAGAATTGTTCTTGAAAAATGTCACCGTGCCGGCAGAAAAGTCGTTGTCAGTCAACAGTATTTCAAACATATGTGATTTCATTTAGCGGCCAGGTAAACATGGGGGATTGTTTACATTGTATAAGCTCCAAAGCAATATACGTGATAACAATGTATACTACAATCTACATAACTGGCCAGTGAAACCTAGTGCTAATTATCATAAAACGGGGTACACTAAAACGCTAAAACACCTCATTTCCGTGAATGTATTCCATGAAAGCTCCATATTCAGAATTGGTCAGTTAAGCTTTCCCGCTCCGAAATATAACCAGGCAAATTAGCAGTGATCTTTTTCGGATCCCTCCAACGCTCATTTTAATAGCCTCTGTTTGGTAGCACGTTGACGCGTTGGCGACAAGCACCACTTTGTTTCCCGAAATTTTTGAGCCGGTTTTAATGAACGTCGAGCTTAAATTGGCAGGCTTTTTTTAATTCATCGGTCCTTCCGATTTTCCATTATGATTTTTGTTAATTGGATAAGCTTACATCGATATTACAAGCAAAAGCATAGTACGACGGACCAAAAAAAATGTTGATTCAGTATCACCCAACGAATTCGGACTAGATAAAAGGAGCAGGCCTATGATTTGTTTGTGCCCAAAATTACGTAGTCAATGATTACGATGCATATTCAAGCTTACGCTGCCAGTTATACAATTGTTGATACTATTCTGCGAAAACATATAAAAGTGGGTAGGTTCCATCGAACACTAGTGTTCCAGACAGTTTCCTTGAGCACTCAGTCTCAATCTAAGGTTTCTTAACAAAATTGTATGCCTAGCAATATTGAAAAATGCCAAATATTGCAGACAAACCAAAATTTTTGATGGATATTGAAAACGGCCAACCGAAACTTTAATCTAACCAAACTAAACTAAAATTTAACTTCATATACTTTAATTTTGAATCAAAATGTTCTCAGGAAATGTAAAGGGTTGTCCAATAGGGACGCAGGAAAGTAAACGTCAATTTGACATAGACGCCGTCTTTGTTTTCTGTCACCGACATGCCATTTTGTTAGTTGAATGTTTACCATTGATCGCTATGGAGTCGTATTCGATTGAAGACCGCATTAAAGTTATTCAAGAGCACTACAAAAATGGTGCAAAAATAAAAAACACGTTTCGTGCGCTTCGTGAACATTTCGGTCGCAACAACCGCCCAAACGAAACAACCATCGGTCGTCTGGTGCGTAAATTCGAGGCAACAGGTTCTGTGGCAAATCTGCCAGGCTCTGGCCTGCCAAGGAGCGTTCGCACACCCGAAAATATTGCTGTTGTGAAGGAGAGTGTGAGAGACGATCCGAAACAATCAACAACGCGTCGATCCCAAGAATGGGCATTTCGAGAACCAGTTTGCTCCGCATTCTCCACAAGGATTTGAATGTACACGCCTACAAGATCCAATTGACGCAAGAGCTGCGTCGGGCCGACCATTTTTCGCGCCGAACGTTCTCAGATTGGCTCCTTGAACACCGCCAGATTGATGCCAATTTTTCATCAAATATCATGTTCAGCGACGAAACGCATTTCACTTTGAATGGGACGGTAAACAAGCAAAACTGCCGCATCTGGGCGAACGAAAATCCCCGTGAGTATCAAGAGCAGCCGATGCATCCTCAAAAAGTGACTGTGTGGTGTGCATTGTGGTCAAAAGGCATCATCGGACCTTACTTTTTCGAAAATGCGGCCGGGGACGCCGTTATCGTCAATTCTGAGCGATATCACGTGATGATAGAGGACTATTTTTTGCCGCAACTTGTAGGAATGGATATGCACGATGTTTATTTCCAACAAGACGGTGCAACACGCCACACAACCAATGTCAATATCCATCGATTGCAGTCCTTCTTCGGTGATCGCGTGATTTCGCGCAGAGGAAATGTGCCATGGCCACCAAGATCGTGCGATTTGACTCCCTTGGACTTCTTTTTCTGAGGATATTTGAAAAGCAAAGTCTACGTCAACAAACCAGCCACCCTCCAAGAACTCAAAAACAACATTATTGCCGAGATAAATGCCATAGAACCGATCATGATGCAAAATGTCATTGAAAATTTCGACCATCGCGTGGACGTCTGTAAATCCAGTCGTGCTGAACATTTGAGCGATATTATTTTTCATACATAAATGGTATAAATGAGCCTTCAAAATAAAGTACACAACTTGATTTGAATATCAATCTTTCTTGTTTTAATATGCGTTTACTTTCCTGCGTCCGTCCATACTTTCGCGTTATAAGTAGTAATTTTACGCTCTCATTTTAGTGTCACGAGATTCTATAGGCAAGCTCAGTATGCCCAAAAAAAGTATGAAAATCATATTATTTAAAATATTTTTATTGAATAACTATAGTAAAAATCACATAATAGCAAAAACATCAATATTATATTCAACTAGGAATTTAGTTTTAGCTAAGAAGCTGCCTGGATGACTTGTTTTGTATTGTTTACCTATCAAATTTTTTTTACGCAGAATTGCATATAATTATGCTGTGTTTGTTGTTGTTGAAGAGAACAGTACGCTCTGAACTCTACCACATTTATTCAGCAGAAACCAAATTTACCAATATAAAAATAATATATATCTGTGCATTAACGAAATAAAAACAAAGTTTCTCTATAATATATGAGCGCCTAAGTTTAAAAACTTGTATGCGCAAAAACAGACCAAAACAGTAATTAATTGATAAATATCGTGCAATATATATTTTTGTATAAAATCACTCAACTATACAAACAAAACATGATAAACGATATACAAAAAATGAAAGAAAATCATATTTAATAATATCAAAAAGAAAGAGAAAGAAACAAATAGGCATATCAATCTACCTCAAAGCAACTTAAAATAGACGCATAAATTGTTCACGATTTTCCCAACAGAACATATTAAACGAAACATTAAATTTTTTATTCTTTCCAATATTCCTGATATTAGCAGGAATCAAATTGTAAAATTTAGGTGCAAGATATGTCACAAAACGCAAATTTAAATCTCCCCTGGACTGCGGGATGTTCAGGTTATGAGTAGTGTTTGCTCGGGTCATATAATTGTGGGACACAATTTGTATTTAATTTCCTACTTGCATGTACAAAACTACATACTGCAAGGATATATAAGATTTTAATATTGTTTATTTCTTGAGAATAAAGTTGCATAGTGGGGTATAGTCTAGTTTTTTTTAGAAGAATCCTTACAATATGGTTCTGCACCACTTTTAACTGCTCAAGATTTGAACCGTACATTCCACCCCACACAATTATGCCATATACCAATAGTGGCACCACAAGTGCTTTGTAAATCATTAATAGTAGTTTAAGGTTCAGTATATTACGAAGAGCGTAGAATTTATGGATGAAAAATCTAATTTTTTTGCTCAAATACAGCACATGTCGGTCACACTTCAAGTGCTTATCAACAACAACCCCCAAATATTTAATTTCATTTACTTCTTTCGAAGGCTCATCAATATTATCAAGTTTAATTTGATTAAATGCTGGTCTATTAGCCATGGTTATAGAAAAGGCAATGTAATGAGTTTTTTTTATATTCAGAGTTAATTTAAATGTGTCCAGAAGGCTTTTAATTTTTGCAAACTCAGTCTTCTATTTTTCACCCATGTCTCTCCATGAAACACCATCACGGTGTCATGAGCATAGGCAATTACATCGCCATCAACTGCAAGACTGCAGAGGTAATTTACGTATGTTGTCAATACACATTTATACTTTATCTGAAGTCACTTGAAACACTGTGAAATACCGGGTGCGTTTTATATATCTATATTTAACACGCTCTGTTGCTGTAAAAATTGCCAAATTTCGCAGCAAATATCCCCCGTATAAGATCAAAGGCAGTTTCACCGGTCCACGTGGAGTAAAGCACGCCTATGCGTGGACATAGCCAATGAGAAAGCGTGTATTTCAGGGCTCCGAACATGTGCAGGTGGCTACTGAAAATTGAAACAGTTTAGCCAGTGCCGTGTAGCGGTGAATAAACGTGTTTTCTTTAGTCTGTCCGTGTTTTTAGATTTTATTAGTTTGTGTGTTTTTGACTTTTGAATACTCAGTTTACTTGTTGATTTAATTGTTGTGTTGATTGTTCTTGTGTGTCCTAAATATGGCTCTTTGGAGACCTTGGGAAAATGCTCCAAGCCACGAGGAGATGGTTGATGAACCTGTGCAGGCAGAATTCTTTCATAAAGATTTAGAGGAACAGACCCAAAGAGTAATCCTAAATATGTATGATTGTCTGAAAGACGAAAATCCAGATTCCTCGCAAAATCAAATTTTAAACAGAATTTGTATTCTGACAAAAATCAGTCGGTCTACCATTTATCGGGTTATAAGAAGGGAAGATGTAGTCAACCATTCCTTCCACAGAAAGCGCATAGGGTAAAAATTAAAAAGAATAGACGTGGGTTTTCAGGAAGATATTCGTCGTATAATACACGGATTTTACGTATATAAAGAAAATTTGGTGCCCACGTTGGAAATGATACGGGATAAATTAAAAGATTATCCTGAAGATTTTTATAATTACAAATGCTTAGACTCACTGCACTGTATTGTAAAACTGTGTGGTTTTCAATACAAAAAATTAGATAAAAGAATGGTGATTATGGAGTCGTCTCGAATCGTTGAATTGCGCCAAGAATTTTTGCACAAAGTTAAAATCTATAGAGAGCAGAAAAGAAATCTGATTTACCTGGATGAAACGTGGTATGACACCCATGGTGTTGTGCAGTACGGCTGGGTTGACGACAGCAACAAGTGCATTTTAAATGCACCATTCAACCGTGGAAAACGAATCATTATTCTCCATGCTGGCAGTGAAAATGGATTTATACCTAATGCCTTGCTGTTATCTGCCAAAAATATCAAAGAATCATGCGCCGACTATCATGAGGACATGACCTCCGACTTATTTGAAAAGTGGATAGAGCAGTAGTTAATACCAAACATTTCCCCAAATTCAGTGATTATTATGGACAATGCGCCATACCATTCCCGACAGAAAAACAAAATTCCGAATACAGGCACAAAAAAAACAAGACATTATTGATTTTATGAAGGATAAGGGAATGGAAATACCACAAAAATCAACCAAAGCCATATTATTGGATCTTATTAAAAGACAAAAATTTGAAAAAGAGTATGTTGTTGACAATCTGCTTCAGCAAAATGGCCATAAGTATTACGTCTACCTCCCTATTACTGCATTTTTAACCCGATTGAGTTGGTCTGGGCTGCTTTAAAAAAAAAAGTAAGAAAACATAATCAGACCCCTCAATTAAGTGAATCGCTATTGGCCACAATAAGAGATGCAGTATCTCATATTGCTGCCACAGACCTATGGAAGCAGTGTTCTAGGCATATTATTGAAAAAGAAAATGAATATTGTGTTTTGCCTCCTGTAAATCCCGTTGTAATTCCTCTACAAGATGACTCTAGCGACAGCTCCGTAGGCGAGGATGATATATAAATACCTATAATATAAGTCTTTATATACCTTTTTATATACCTACCTGCTATGTAAATATTTGCCTATGTCAAACGTTGGAATTCTGTAATTTTTCCATTTCTTAACTTTCAGTCAACATAAATTAAACTCCCAATATAAGTATTTTTTATCCCAAATCAAAAAAATAAGAAGATAGTAAAATCCATTTATTGTGATATAAAAACATTATTATTATCGTTCTAAATAAATGACCGCACGCCTATGATACGTCATGAAATTACAAAGGACGCGCCGACCAAAGGTTTTTATGCTATTTCAAGTGACTTCAGATAAAGTATACTTTCGTTTACTTGACCCATTTAATTTAACCCTGTTTATCAAAAATAAATGAGCGATTCTCATCGCAACACGGTATTTCTGTTTTGCTCTACCTGGACACACCCAGCATGAATAGCTACTCGAATATCCTTTCCAGAGGGAAGAATGTACGCCGATGAGTTGGCTTCTCACTTTGGTAGGCAATGGTAGCCAGATTATCCAAAAATATGCACTAACATTACACAATTTTAACGAGAAACAATGCAATGTCTGCAGGTCTGTCGATCTGTCGGTATGGCCGCTAATCTTTATCTGCTCTATAGCTTGAGAACTGCCGGTTTTTGAAAAAGATTAGAAATCGCTCAATTTTCAATTTTTTTGACGTTTCAGAGGATCGTGATCATGGAATCTACTGGATGCCATTTTTTTTTCGTAGCAATAAGCTAAATCTAATGGTACTCAGAGGTATGCATCAACATTATTAGTGATTCATATTGGAATCTGTCTGGACTATCGATGTAGGAATATAAGCGATAATCCATAGTTCAATACCTTAACATCAAATTGTTTTTAACATATGATGGACATTTTTGTTCGACTTGGGATCCTGGTACATAATACATACTGTTCGTGCGGTTAATCATTCTAGATACTATCTGATACAGAAACTGGATTTTTATTGAACGTCTGAATTGTAAATTAAAGTGAGTTTCCTTCCGTGCTGTGTATCTAGTACGTGTACATTACATGAATATATATAAGTGGAAATAACGGAAATAGATTGGGAGTCATTGGAAATGTAAATTGGAAGAGTTATAGCCATATTTATTACGCAAGATGCACATAATTATATGGACATAGATTTGTAGTAACCTTGGCAGCTGCTGCATTCGGTATTTTGTTATGCCACTATACCTTCGTCACTTTCATATCCAGTTCTACCAGTGGGCCTTCTTAGTTAGGGTCAGTACAAATGTCTGTACAAGGCAAATATCAGTGTGTGCCTGCTTTGCTTTCATACTGATCATATTTCACACGTTTTGATTTATATCTCTATCTGGATATTGTGACAACCTTCTTTCCCAGTGATATTTCCATGAGATCCATAGACAAGGTCCAAAAATGAACCACAGGGCACTCTGCGATGCTAGAAGGGGCTAGCTACGGGCAGCTCAGTTGTTTTTTGGAAAAAAGCTCAGACCGGCCGATCTTGTTTTCGAGGGGGACACAAGTTTGTCAAAAAATCACGTTAACACGTGCAGCGCCCTGGGCGGGGGTGACACCAACCCTAAAATCTTAAATGGAAAAGGGAGTCGAGTAATACTTTATTTTAAAGGTCTTTCAATTCCCTTTATCATGATGTAAAATACATGAGCTTTAGTTCAGTAGTTTTGAAGATTTATTGATTTAAAGCTTAAAGTAGACTTTAATAGGTATACTTTATCTGAAGTCACTTGAAATAGCATAAAAACCTTTGGTCGGCGCGTCCTTTGTAATTTCATGACGTATCATAGGCGTGCGGTCATTTATTTAGAATCACTGAATTTGGGGAAATGTTTGGTATTAACTGCTGCTCTATCCACTTTTCAAATAAGTCGGAGGTCATGTCCTCATGATAGTCGGCACATGATTCTTTGTTATTTTTGGCAGATAACAGCAAGGCATTAGGTATAAATCCATTTTCACTGCCAGCATGGAGAATAATGATTCGTTTTCCATGGTTGCATGGTGCATTTAAAATGCACTTGTTGCTGTCGTCAACCCAGCCGTACTGCACAACATCATGGGTATCATACCACGTTTCATCCAGGTAAATCAGATTTCTTTTCTGCTCTCTATAGATTTTAACTTTGTGCAAAAATTCTTGGCGCAATTCAACGATTCGAGACGACTCCATAATCACCATTCTTTTATCTAATTTTTTGTATTGAAAACCACACAGTTTTACAATACAGTGCAGTGAGTCTAAGCATTTGTAATTATAAAAATCTTCAGGATAATCTTTTAATTTATCCCGTATCATTTCCAACGTGGGCACCAAATTTTCTTTATAAAATCCGTATATTATACGACGAATATCTTCCTGAAAACCCACGTCTATTCTTTTTAATTTTTGCCCTATGCGCTTTCTGTGGAAGGAATGGTTGACTACATCTCCCCTTTTTATAACCCGATAAATGGTAGACCGACTGATTTTTGTCAGGATACAAATTCTGTTTAAAATTTGATTTTGCGAGGACTCTGGATTTTCGTTTTTCAGACAATCATACATATTTAGGATTACTCTTTGGGGCTGTTCCTCTAAATCTTTAAGAAAGAATTCTGCCTGCACAGGTTCATCAACCATCTCCTCGTGGCTTGGAGCATTTTCCCAAGGTCTCCAAAGATCCATATTTAGGATACACAAGAACAATCAACACAACAATTAAATCAACAAGTAAACTGAGTATTCAAAAGTCAAAAACACACAAACTAATAAAATCTATGAAAAAACACGGACAGACCAAAGAAAACACGTTTATTCACCGCTACACGGCACTGGCTAAACTGTTTCAATTTTCAGTAGCCACCTGCACTTGTTCGGAGCTCTGAAATACACGCTTTCTCATTGGCTATGTCCACGCATAGGCATGCTTTACTCCACGTGGACCGGTGAAACTGCCTTTGATCTTATACGGGAGATATTTGCTGCGAAATTTGGCGATTTTTGCAGCAACAGAGCGTGTTAAATATAGATATATAAAACGCACCCGGTATTTCACAGTGTTTCAAGTGACTTCAGATAAAGTATACATCAGATTAGTCTGTACTACTTTCAGAAGAAATTTGATTAAAAGAATTTACTTAATAAGTAAATGCCCATGGTTTGTTTATAATTTTGTTGTTAAAAATAGCTATTGGAGCATTTTTTGTGTCAAAAAAGTCATTTCTCGAAGAACGATAAGGAAACATCTCAAATAGGAATTTAGTACATAGTTTGCGATTGATTTGACCAAACTTTGTTGCTAAAATAACTTGTAACGCTTTATTACATAAATTAACCATGGTATATTGCACAGCAGAAAGAGTTGAAATTATCGAAATATTTTTCGGAAATAATCAGTGCGCTAATAGAACAGCAGAAATATTTAATGAGCGACATGATAATAGTAACGTGCATCGAAAATATGTTCTAGAACTTGTAGCTAACGTAAATTTCGGGAAACTGGGTCAGTCGCCAATAAAAAACGCAACATTGAAAATCCCATAAGGAACGAAGCAATAGAAGTGGGGGTTTTAGGGCAAGTACTAAACATGTGAGCAGTACTCCAGGCTAGACCTTGTACAGAATCAGGTCATGTGAAGTATTATTATCCCTAAGCAAATAGCCTAGCTTCTTCCCCGGCAGCTGCGTTATTCATGAGATGTGTCTGTGCCAGATCAAGCCTTCGGTGATTTGGACTGCAGGTCTGTCGCCAGAGAGGAAGTCACTGCTAGTCATCTTTTCTTCAGCTCACCGTCAGAGAATGAATTCCTGCATGTAGAGTGTTGTCATCAGCAAAGCTATGGATCGGATTGATCGTAAACGAGGTCGCTGATATGCAAGTGGCATCCGTCATCTTTCTTTTATAATCTTCGCTGCGATTGCATGTCACTAGGTCAAATGTAACTGGCTGCTATTAATTTACGCTTTCGTGGAAATTACCATTTCCGCTTGCAGCTTCAACATTCTGATTGATTAACTAACAGATGGATGGCAGAAAAAGCTCGTTAGTTTAGTCATCATGCGCTCACTTGGAGGTATGTTGCGGGCCGGTTGAATGCAGGACGTTTCCTGATAAAGAACAGGCTGCAAAACGAACAACAACAAAGTGGAAGTTCGACCACGGAAAGGTACAGTGTCAATTGTGACGTCACTGTCACTGACAGTTAAGAAAATAGCAACCTTGCACGTGCGGTGGTTTCTATGCGGTTCTGATTGTCAAATATCAACCGATGAATATAACATACACATTTCGTTTTCTGTAAAAAGATGTCGGTGAAAAAAAAAACCGATATCAGGTGACATTAGGCGTAGAACTGCTGAGTTTCTATGGAGTAATGAATTGCTTTTTTGTGGATAAATTAAAAAGTAATTGGGCGCGCTGTTAATATCACTCGCTGACGTTGGACCACAAAATAGTTGCGAACAGCAACCCTATTCTCAGCTCTATGATCTGTGTCAGAATGGCAAAACGTTCTCTGAGCTCAACTTTTGATTTGGATCGACAAAAAATTGCTGCAAACTGTATGTGTTAGAGCTTCGTTCCTCGATAGGTGCAATTATTGATTTGCACAATTAACTAGTTTTTATCAAGAAAGCGTGACGAAACTGATATTCTTGCGTAAGATCAGATTCCCTTTTCGTGTATTACCAACCCCATCTTCTTAGTTAATTGATTATGCAATATCTTGCCTGTGTAGCAGAACCCTTCTCGAATTCTAATAAATTTCCCCTTTAAACTTGAGAAGTGATCAGTACGAGATTAAAAGTTCAGTTTTACGGCATCTGCGATTACAATTTTGAGTCAGCAATAGTCTAAGTAACATGACTAACTTCTCAGTTTGCTAAATAATGTACGTGGCTTCGCAAAGGTTGCATTCTTACTTGTACTGCTAACAAAAGCGCGCCAAGTAGGTTGACAGAGAAAATAATTAGCTAAGATGGACAATAGAAGAATTAATCGGATCAAGTCAGTCAAACAGGCCCATAAAATTAATCTAAAGACATTATTTACCTGCCGTACCCGTAGTTACCCTTCCCCCCCCCCCGACAGCAGAAGGAGACACGTATGAAAAAAAATCACTCTAAGTTTTAAAGACAAATGTGCGTGGTAACCTATGAGGTGTGAAATATGGAATAACCAGAGTTGGGAGCGGATAAACATACTAGCATCAAAATTTTGGGATGTATACTCTCCTACCTTCCTACAACCCCCATTTCCTAATTTCTTACCCCTAATGTTTTTTTCAAAAATATATATTTCCTGAAAAGACAATGCCGTGTTCTATGTATAAGAATCCCACGAAAAGAGAGGTCGGCTACCTTCTATGTTAGCTCCTAAGACTACAAGAAGTCGTAACACTTGCATGCAGATATGCTATGATTAATATTACATAATTTACTGGGCAAAGTGACGTTTTACGAAAGAAGGGGGGCCCCAGATATGTCTATGGCGGGATCTACTGCCAAGTAAATATGCGCACTTAGATGTTAAACGTCTACAAAGTGATCTTAAACTAGTGGATAATCTTACAGAGAACAAATCTGGTACTCTGTATTTTAGTTGTTCAAGAAACCTGAAGTCTTACATAAATCTCTAGAATAACATGTTGGAGGTCCCTTGGTGGTGTTAACCAGTCCTCATATGGTAAAATGTAGGAATGTAGCAGAAAGCCAGCAAAAGCGGTACAACGTTAAGGTCTCAAGCGATGCTACGTTCAATGTAGCAGGTTGCAGAATGGAGTTCTGGTCAAATCATGGTCTGACTTGTGTATGAAGAATGAAGAAAAAAACGTACAGGAAGTAGAAGACGTTGAAGGAAAGAAGAAAAAAAGAAAAACAGAAAAAGCCCTATGGACAAAAGTCAGTGCTTTAAGCATACGCTAAAGACAGCAATAAAAA